AGGGGGCCTTCAAACAAGATAAGATAAGTATAAAAGAGAATTTGGAGATATATTCGATAAACGGAATTTACTACTCATTGCTACTGTTCCGACTCCTATATCAGGGTTTCGGGCTTTCTTCGGGCTTCAGTCTCAAGCCCCTGAGATCCAGCCTCCAAAGCCTGACCACATCGACGGCGCGAGAAGCCGAGCGAAAGGTTGGCAGAAACGGCCCGCCCTTTTATCCCGGACAGACACCAGGTGCCGAACTTGACAGAGGCATGAGTCTAGCAAGCCTTTTTTTGAGCAGGGACTGCAATGCCCTAAGCCCGGAATCCCTTCAGCCAAGCTCCTGATTCCAGCGCTTGTGGCAAAGCACGTGAAGCATGTTGCACTGTCTGCAACCACTGATAAAGCCTGAAATCCCCAGCATCAGCAACATCATCATCATCATCATCATCATGAATCATCCCCATCCATGACCGCAGAACATCACATCCCACGCTCATGCAAACATTAACGCAGGGTCACACAACTTGTGCAATCGCACTCACTCCCTGAGGGCCTGCAGACCTCGAGACGAACGAAGAGCCACGTTGGTTCCGGTCGCCTGCGCTTGCGGCCTTGACAGCTGACCCTATCACTGGCTTCTGTTGGGCCTATGGCTGGGGACTCAACGTCCGGATAGCTTTACAGCTGCCGATTGGATTTCTGAAATGGCTCGTTGACGAAGCAGTGTTTCTCTGCCATCTTTACTTTTGAGACAATCTTACAAGTTGCCGGCACTTCATCCATACCAGCACTTGAACACAAAGACCCTTGCTGTGCCACTGAACACGGCTGACTTGCAGTACCCTAACAATGAAAACATGCACCATACCTTGGCGAATGAACATGCGACCTCTTTAACCTTTGCCGACGTTTGCCCGTTCATGGAGAAGGCAGTTCCTGCCCCTGAAGATGCCATGATTTCCGAGCAACAGACGGCCATGCTGACATTGGGGTCTTTGAAGGCGAGCTTGACTGTTGAGCATATGCACTGCCTCGGTCTTGGCCACGCAGTCGTACAGCCCAGCACAAATTCAGAAACATGTTGAGCAGCAGATTCGACAGCAACTTCGTCAGAAGAGATCATACCGGCTAACCTGCTAAACCAAGATAGCAAGATAACTGAAGCTGCTGTGCATGATGGATCGTTTGACCTGCTGGAAGTCCACCCAGATCGAAAACATGAACGCCTCAGTCCTCACGACCAAGCCTGGTGCACAACCTTACATGTTCTTTGGCCTCAGCTGTGCCACCGAACTCAAACGTTCGGCTGTGAATCTATGCGTCATCGACCGAACCACTGCGGCCACTACCATTTGGCTTAGAAGCGGCAGCGCCTGCTCCATCTATCCAAGTGTTTTTTTGAACTTTATCGGCATTCTCGAGAACAGCCGAGGTATCCAAGCAACTCAGTGCCCAACATGCATCCGAGAATTCGCGCCAATGAACCCAAGACCGTACACCGAATTCTCTGCACTCCTCAGCTCAACCCTCAGCCCTCAACCCTAAACCCTATAATCCCTAAACCCTACAAGCCCTACACTCAAAGTCCTCAAACAACGAAGAGATCCCGGGTGCCACGGCCACTGGAGGCGCTTGCCGCACTGAGCCGAGAGGGGTCCACCTCCCAGGCTCTCAGAAACACTTTGACCTCTTGACGCGGTGTAGAGGTTTTGAGGAGTTTGAGGGTTTAGCGGTTTGGTTTGAGGGTTGAGGGGTTGAGGGTTCAAGGTCAGGGCTTGGACGGCTCCATGGTTCAAGCAGAAATCAGAAAGCATCGGAGAGTCGCCAAGATCTGAAGCCTGGATCTGAAAGCCTCCGGCTCTCGCCAAACATCCGGTAAATCGTCGATAACTGGAACGAGCAGGACACTCCTGAAGCTCAAAAAACGGGCTCGTCGTTAAAAGCTGCATTCACTGGAAAACTTCACCGGACATGCTGCCCCAGCTGTGTTCTCTCACATCAGGTGGATCCCTGTCCGTCTTAACATCTAGAAGTAACGTACAATGCGCAGGTGATGCTAGAAATCTACGGCTCCGTCAAGAGTCAGGGATCTCGTTTTCCGGAGACCTCGCCATTGTCTTTGGCAGCTGGCAAGGACAACCTTCCCAGAAGTGGCTGATCGGAAGTCCATGCCAAGCTTGATCCATGCCCTGTACTCGGCTGAAGCTAAGCAGGCCAGCGCTTCTTCACAGAACAGAGTAGGCATGTTCGCAGTGATCCGAGTTTGGAAGCTGTTGACAATGACTGATCAGGTTGGACAGCTGATCGCCGACATAAACCGCAAAGCCCTTCCTGCTGACACTTCGCACATTGCATTTTACCAGACGTGATGCTCCATAGCGCGACGCAAAGCACATTTTCATAAACCCAGTGTTGAAACCTTATGGCTCATGCTTATCTGCTGCATCCAATTTTGAGCACGAGCGCCCGGCCAACGATCGGTGAGAGCTTCAATGGTGGCTTTGACACCTGGCATGTCGAGATCATATTATACTAGAACTACAATATACCACCGTATCCAGAATCCCAGAACATACTATAAAATGCTATCCGAAAGCTCCCCAAGTTTTTACACGAAACTTCGACCGACGCTTCCACAAGCCCGTCTCCAAACAAGAACGCAGAAACACGCACACACACACACACATGCGCGCGCACATGCGGAGCGCGAGAGACACAGAGATAGATAGACAGACGGACAGATAGATAGATAGATGGATAGGTCGGCAGATAGATAGTTAGACAGACAGATGGATACATACATACGCGTAGTTGTATATACATGTTATATATATATATATATATTACATATATACAGACATTCGCACATACATACATATAAATAAATGAAAATACAAATTTAAACATATATATATATAATTACAAAAGGAACATGTAAACAAATTAGTAAATGCAGACATACATACGCACATGTATATATATATATATATACATGTATATGTGTATATATATATCTATATATATATATATGTATATAATATTAGCTATTAGCAAATTTCAAAAGAAGAAAGAGAGAGAAAGAGAGAGACACACCTGCATACATACATACATACATACATACATACATGCATACATACATACATACATACATCCATGCATCCATGCATGCATGCATGCATGCATGCATGCATGCATGCATACATACATACATA